TCTCTCCTGGGCTAAGACACATAGCCTTTATTACTCTGCTTTCTAGTTATTTCAACTTCTACACCTGCACCCTATCACGACAGTGCTGACTAAGAAGTTAATGACTGCTAATTGACTTGCCCTTGTTCCAGAAAATCTGTCAGGTTCCTTTCAAGCCTGGGTGATAATAAGGGTAAGCATGTTTGTGCTGGGAGTGGTAGGGTGGACATGGAAGGGTGAAGAGGTGAAAATTCTTAAGATAACAATGAGGCTCCTTGACTGCCATAATTTGAGAAGTTAGCATGGTCTGTAGTCAAACTAAAAATTGAGAAAATCTCATGTGGGCTGAGGATCTGATTTGGCTCAAATTACCATGGCCCTATCCTACAATGGTTCTATGAACACTCCTTGTTCACATGACAGTCTTTCTGGTTGGTAGGTAGAAGGGACCTGCCTGGTTTAGAGCCTATAGTCATCTTCAGGCCAGTGACTCTCAAGATTGGCTTAGGAAAAGACTAACCTCTGGGAACAAGTGCTTGCCAGAATATTCTACCCCAGCATACGGCACTTTTTCAGGTTCCCCATCAAAATGGTAAAACCTCCATCTGGTACATAGAGCATGGCCAACACTGGCTAGAAATTAGGATGGGGTGATTCTGAGCCTGTCCTATAAATAGTTTTTAGATTCAACCTTTTTATTTGTAGCCAGCATCTTCAAGAAGTCAGAAAATAGCAATTTTCTGACAAAAAAAGAGTAGAGATTCCAGTACATGGCACCTTCATAGAAGTCTCTTTAAGGGTTAAAAAAATGATGATGATGAAGAAAGGCAGTCACAGAAGATAGAAGAGATGGAAAATTCATATGTAAATTTATACACTGATATCTGTTCACTAATTCTTGGAGTTACTGGGCTGAACCCTGTCATGGATAGCCTGTGGTTCTAGGCAGGCTCTAGTAAGCTCTACTGGGCACTCAGCTTCAGCCCAGAAATGCAAGCAGAAGTTAAGGTGATGCTGATTGATGAGGACAGGTGAGTCTTCTAGAATGAGATGAGAGGGTATGAAGGATAAGAACGGGCATGAAGTGTTGGGAACACTGTTTAGTCAGAAGAACCACGCATGACAATGCAAGTCATTTTTGAGAGTTAGAAATACTTTTACAATTAATACTAATTGAAGTCTTCTCACACAGTTTCAGAACAATGATTCTCAAACTTGAACAAACACCAGAATCACATAGAGCACCTGCTAAAGCACATATTGCCAGAATTTTTGATTTGGTATGTCTGGGATGAGGCCTGAACATCTGTATTTCTAGCAGGTTCCCAGGTGATGTTGATGCTGCCGCTTGAGGACCACACAATGGGAAGTGCTGTGGTGATGTCCACTGCATGAAATTGTTGGCCTGCCTTTTAGGATCCCAAGAATATAACTTAAAGCATTGACTGAAAAAAGTCTTCAATCACCTCCACTAGTCCTCCCCAAAATAAGCAAAACAAAACAAAGAAATCAAACCTTTCAACAACAAGTAACATTATACCAAAACCCACGTATACAGATGACTTTTAAAGGTAAAAATTAACCCATAAGCAGTGAGGGGCTCTGCACATATTTTCCTAGAGACCAAGCCTTGACAGTAGTATAAGTTCAATGTCAGATGTTTCAACAGAAGACAAGGTATCAGCGTCGTGTCATTCCTGCATCTTTACCCATGCAGTTATCGCAATGGAACTCTCTAAAACCCATGTCTTAAGCCCAAAACTATACCCAAGCTGTTGCTAACTCGCTGTGGTGAGGTGAGGGTTGAATGATTTGACAAAGAGGCCTTTCCCATGGCCTGTGCTATGCAGAGCCCCAACCTCCACGCACACATTTCTCTAAACAAAGGACAGACCTGCCAGTTGAATATGGAGGAAATAGAGTGACCTACTACAAACTCCCATGAATAATCCACACAACTCTGCTAGAAAAAAGTGGAGTCTTCAGGAGTCAGAGAAGAGAAAAACGGATTTTATAAAGACATTTTATTATATAATTTTCATATACAACAAACATAGGAAAAGGGTTCTTAATGAAAGTTTCATGTCACTTTTCCAAAGTTTTGAACTGTCTAGAGAAAAATTATTACAAAGCTATCTAAGTTGGAATAATATTTGACCTTCAAAACAAACTCCCTTCCATTGTTTTTCATATTTAAAGCAAGATATTTTAAACATAAGTAACATGGAGAGGTTTTCAAAAAGGTATGTTGTTTGCATTAAGAATTTAAATGCATCTAAGAAGTGAACAGTTTAAATACATAGATATGTTCTCTACTACGACAGATATTGCTGCTTTCTTCAAACCCACTCTGCCTGGCTATATGTATGGACATATTTTCTGCTTACTAGCAAAACCCTGCCTTGTCCAATAGTACAGTAAGAGCTGGAAGGCAGAGAGGGAGAGTCCCATGCAGGTCCTATGTTAAATGGCATAACTCCCACAGATCACATACACCTCACCATATTGATTCAGTTCATTGCACTCCATATCCTGCAAAAATAAATCTAGTGCTCGACAGCTGACATTATTGCTCACTGACGTTTAGTAATATATTTCTTTAACATAAGACAGAAATATACTGAAATTTGATACCACTTAAACCCAAAAGCAATCTGGAATTAAACCACATGCACACACCCCACTTTTTAATTTTTCCCTTCAATGGATGTTACATTTTTCTTAAAGTTGGTGCTGGAAAAAAATAGCTTTCCTCTAAGAAGAAAAAAAAAGACTAACGATTACTCAAGGAAGATGTTTTATACATTTGTTTTTTATTGTTTGAGGAAAATGCTAAGTCCTGCTGTAAGAAAGGACCAATGACAATCCAGAGTCTCTGGAGAGAGGGAAGAAGCCTCTCATTTATCCTCCTCATCTACCCCAACACTGTGGCACCTATCCAGACAAAAAGCTGGGAGGGGGTTGAGAAGTGCTGGGTGTGCCCCTGAAGGACTGAGGGCAGGCTGTGCCAATGCCACTGGGAAACCCATTTCTTTCTTTAGCCATGCTTCATGGGATCCTCTGGTCATTGTGAAATACTAGGGCTCCCTTTGTAATGTTAGGAAAGACTTTTAGGATGGCCTAGACTATGGTGGCCTGTCTGCTCTTAAATTTTACACCTTATTTCTAGAGGGGAGAAAAACTTGTATTCCAAATGACCCCAGGGTCTGGGGTGAAACATTTGTAGCTGAGGGAGCATCTCCACACTCAGATAAGAGCATGACTCCTGTGGAGCACAATAATGAAATCACTAGGATGTCAGAACCCCACCCCTCCTGCCCCAGGTGCCCGAAGAGGCATGGAAGCATCTAGACATGGCTGCTTTCACATTTTGATTTGTACAACTTTTCATTCTTGTTTCCCACTGTGTCTTTACAATTTTCAAATGTCCCCTCTTAATATTTATTTTGTTGCTTATAAGGAAAGATGCCAGTCTTCATAAGCAATCAAGGAGTTAAAAATATTTTTTAAAACTTAATTTCAGGATTGTCATTCAAAGTTACAAACCCAATATATATATATCAGTCCCACATTGTACTTTCACACCTAGTACAGCAATACCAACTTTGTTATATCACCACTGTTCATACCTGTGAAAACCTTCATTGTGCACAATGATACCCATTCCACCAGACTAAAGGTTATAAAGCAACTGAGCAGAGCTTCTCAAAGTAAATGCAGCCATATTGCTACAAAGGAAATTTGCTGGCTCTTGGTCCAACTGTTTCCACACCAGTCAGTTAAGTCATCTTCTGCTTCTTTCCATGTCAAATACCTGGGCTTCTGTCTCTGAGGCGATTAGAACCAGATCAGTGTAATTTTACAACACTGACCTTAATTGTATACAATATAGCAATTTTGCCCTGAGAGTATCAATACATTTTACAAATATTATGAGTTGATACATGAAGTAATAGGCACAAAAAGGCTAAATGGCTTGTCCCTTGTCACACAGCAGATTAGTGTTAAGTGTGGACTTGGGCTTGCTTTAATGCCCAACATCTTTCCACAAGGTCACCTGAAACTCTGAGTACGAAGTCCCTACTCTGGATTCTATTTGTTTCCTGGAGTATCCATTCAGCTTTTCTGCCCAGCACTGGATTTTTTTTTTAGTACTCGAGATTTAATTATTGATCTCCGCTATTTCTCATTTCTGCTTCCTTGATGAAGTGTGTTGTCCCTGGCCTTTTATTTTACCCAGGGGAATTTATCAAAATGTCCTTCCAGCTGCGGCTGGCATTATGTATATAGAGAAAAGGTCTTATAAAAAGGCAATGGACAGGTGTTCTTTGTGAACTTGGGACAAAATGGGTCTCAGCATTTGATAATTGTCTTACATTCCAATGGTTTCAATGGAAAATAAAATAAAATAAAAGCTTAACCATGAGGTAATGTTTACTTCTCTGCCACAACAGTCAGTGCGCCCCCTCAGATCTGGCTACAATTTAACATAAGGAAAGACTTTAGACCTTCACACCCTTTCAGTAAAGGGAAAAAAAAAAAACCAAAAACCGACTTTAGCTCAAACTTTCCACAAAGCTGAGAAATCTCCTTAGACATCACTCAGTCTTATCTTAGGTAGATCTGTACAAAAGCCTCAAGGTCATGTGCCTGGATGTCCTGCACTTCCCAGCTCTGCTGCTACCCTGCACAGTACATCTCTATTTTCAGCTCTGAAAACTAAGCACCATCTACCTCTTAAACAAGGAGGAAAAAAAACCCAACAAAACTCAAAAGAAGGCGGGTGCTCAAAGAAAATAATACCAAAAGCTACTTAAGTGACTTATGAAGAAGTTTCACAAAGCTATCTCCATTTGCAAAAGCTATAAACAGTTTCAGATCTAGTTAATAGCAAAATACACAGAAGGGTAGGGCCTCTGTTTAAGCAAAAGAAGAAAAAAATATCAATAGCATAAAATTGCCCTTATACTTTTTGAAAAAATATATCTATTAAGACAAATGATTTTGTTTTCGTTTTTTTTAATAAGCTGTGCATTAAGTACACTTTGTTTCCATTGTGTCCCTTGACTCTATAGCTCTGCTCTGTTTGCTGGAACTGGGCTGCTGGCTCCGCTGCCTCCTTCTGCCCCACTGCTGTCTGCAGGCGTGAAAGACAAGGATGCTGAATTGATGCAGTATCTTTTGCCGGTTGGACGAGGTCCATCATCAAAAATGTGCCCAAGATGAGCACCACACTGCAAGAGAAGAAATAAGGGAGAAGCATGTACAAAGCAGGCTTTGAGAGGAACTCACAGTAAGCAGTTTAAATGGATGGTCAGCCTGTGCAGAAATGATGGAAAGCATCCTGGATGATTTCTAATCTGCCAGTCAATAGCTGAAGGATGGTTTCTGGCAGGCTTTGTACCACATGCTGAGAATAAAAAATACTAGAATTGTGCATATAAGAAATCATTTAGGAGCCACTGTATTTTTTGATCTGCAAAGTCTCCCCGGCAGCTGAAAAATGACTGCAGTAATTTTAGGAATTGAATTGACCCTTGATCTCTCCTTGTAAGAAACATGTCAGAATAAAATCTCTCCCCCATGGCATTACTTTTGGCTTTGGATGGGTGGGTTTCAGATATGCAGAAGTCCACTGTAAAAGATACTATTTAACTGGCCATGACGGAGGTGATGTTTGCTTTCATGGGCAGTAAAACTTAACATCAGACAAGCATTGGATGTTCTTGGAACCCAGTGAAGCAATGGCAAGGTTCAGTAGATTTATGTCACAGTCACCAGGGCTGCAAGTGTAGCAAATGGAAGCATCTCTAGCCCACACAATTGCTTTTTCCTAGCTTCTAATAGGTGCAGTGTCATGCTGGCTTCTTTACTCAAATGAAGTACATTGAGTGGAGAAGGAAGTAGCTGCTTAGCTAAAAACAATGCTACTGATTGTTCAAAAGGAGAAAAAGCCTAGAGTTCAGACTGACAGAAGGAGGGATGGTTGGTTATGGCCCAATGAGCAAAGCCCTGCCCTGAGTGCTTCAATACTGGGTATGTCTCCAGGAGATGAGTGCACATGTCACACTTGCACATATCCCATCCTTTCTGAGCAGGGATGGGGTAAGGAGACAGAGACCTTAGCATACTACATTCAACCAGACTGCAAAAATAGATCATTTGTCACATCACAGAGAAACCAAAGGCTGGGGAAAATGGCTTCCACTTAAGTCTTTTAACAGACATTGTGGAGTGTTACTGTTCTAAACTCTGGAGGTACAGGAACAATCCCTGTCCTCATAGAGCTTATGTGCCAGTGGGAGGGACTGACAACATGCAAGAAAAGAAGTGAACTGTAAAGTACGGTCGTTAGAAATCAATGCTAAGGAAGGAAAAAAGGAAAATGATGTGAAAGATGAGGACATACCAAGATTCAGGGGCTATCTCCCCAAGGTGACTCTGGAATAAAGATGTAAAGGAAGTGCATTTCTAGGAGAGAGCATTTCAAGGACAGGGAAGAGTCAAGATTTAGGTGAGGATATGACAGAAAAGGCATATAGGTTATTTATTAATTCTTCTCACTGAGCTGGTTTAGTGTATAAAATGCTTATAAATTGCAGGGAAAGAGAGTATGAATTGATAAATGATGGGAGGGCTGAGATACCAAATGTACATGATGAAAGCAAAATGTGGAAGGATGCTCATTACAATGGAAAGAACTAGAAACCCTCCTTAAGGGTTCTGTAGTTATTAGTAAACAGCACAGATAGGAACTTTGACTATATGGCACTTCCAGTTTAAAAGTGCATTTTGATTTTACTGCCAACATACTGTGTCAGCTTTATGAAAGAATTAAAAATGAACCCTGAACTGATTTGATTTATTGACTGGAAAAATATGGAATAGTCCTAAAAACCAATCTTGCATTATTTTACCACATTCTATGCATGTTTAGGTAATGTCAAAGCTGAAAGCTCAGATTGCCTTTCCTATCTGTAAACAATTGCGGCCAAATTTTCAGGCACCATCCACTAAGATGCACCAGTAAAAATCCATATGGCTACTCAATCGGAAAACCCCTATTTCTGCCTGCCAAAACAGCCAGGGAGCAGGCCGACAGGAACTAGTGCTCTCAGTGACTGGTGTGTGCGCAGTTACTGAGCTCACATGCAGTTCAGCACTTTGATCACTTGGCATTTGAGAGGTAAAGTTTTTAAATAAAAGCTTTAGGTAGGGGTGCATTTGTGTGTGCTCAAATGTTTAATGATAGAACACAACTATGCGGGCAAAATAAATGATATTGCCTTCTTTTATTAATCATCTCTTGAGCATATTGAGAAAGCAGTTCTATTTACATTACTTCCCTCACAAAAGTATAGTAAGGATGTACTTGAAGCTGTCTAGGAGTAAGTTATGGGGTCCTCATTTCCCACATCATTTATTTTAGAAACCCAAATTATTGAAATTTAATCTGTTGAACTGAGTTCGTTTTCAACCTGTAATTTCATTTGCTAATCTGAAACTAGTTTTCCAGTTAAAGAGAAAAGGCCAATTCTCACGTATTTTCAATACAGCTAAAAGAAAAAGGGAGGTGAGGAAAATAAATTATAGTTAGGAAAAGGCAAGAAAATTCATTTGCAAGCAAATACATGGGCCAGGGATGGGGTAGGGCAATCTTCAGAAAAGGCATGAGTCCCCTACAAATGAAAGTGAAGGCTTCAAGCAAGATGGCTTCATCTTGCTTGTCACAAGATGTTCTAAAAAAGTCACCCTAGGCTTAGGTTACCGAAGGTGCAGCAGGTGCTGATTTACATCTGTGCCAGCACAAACGTGCCCAAGCACTGCCTGCAAAGTGGCAAAGCTATTTGTCTGAGGGATGACATCACACATAAAAAGATGGGCTTCCAAAATACCAGATCTTCCCAGTCTCCCATAAGACTATTCTCCGTTTAAGAGTGTGCAAGCCCAAAGGCACCTCCCTGAGGGGAACGCACATGGAGCCCATTCTTTCTAGCTTCTAGCCCTAGCCAAGGGCTGGAATGATGAATGGAAGTTGTCAGTGATGCATTGTTTCCTTAGCCACCTACGAGCTCTGCCTCCCTGGCTCCAGCCAACTGGCAATGTATTGGGATCTCTCAGCACACCTGGCTGTAACTGAAACAAACTGGTTGCCCATTGAAGAAATCTCTGTTCATGATTTATTTTAGGATAGGATCTTTGCAGTGTGTTTTGAAAATTGTTTTTAATGATCTTGCAGTTCTTTGTTTTAAGGTAAATACATATCACAACTCAATATTCTAATCTTCATTCTGAAGAAGCACAGATAATTGGTCAAAAGGAAAAAATTATTTCCCACAGGAATCCTTTATCACCTAAGCCTCCCACTCAGAAAAGCTGGCAAGAACCTGCAGAGAACCAAAGGAAAGAATCTCCTAAAAAATAGATTGAGCATCAAATTTAACATAATTCCTTAAAATCTGACTGCAATTCTCAATTGTGTGCATAAGAAACACAAACAGTGTATTCAACACAGTTACATATTTTTGCACTGATGTATTTCCCCTTGTCCTAGAGGCTTTCTTCTGGCTACTCCTGGGATGTTCAGGCTTTATTATTGTCATTTTCTCGTAAGTGTTTGATCTACATGATAGCATGAAGCACTGTCAAAGAGGGGCTTTTACACTTGGGCACATGGGCAGCATGGGAGAGAGAAAACAGTTTTAAGAAGAAAAGCAATTTACTTTGCCAGTAATATTCTGTTTTCTCCCACTGTTATTGAAGACACTTGTGTGTAAGTAGAGGCTCTTTTCCTCTGTGCTTATGATATTAATCTTTTGCCAAGGAAATGATTGTGAAGTCACCAGTTTAGCATTATGACTTTACTGAAAGATCAAGAAAAAGAGAGATGGGCTGTGAGTCTGAAACCCTATTGTAACACATGGGTATCTTTAATCATCAGCAATATATGAGTTGTCATCTGCAGAAGATTAATAAGGTTTGGAGTTTTACCAAAAACTGCTTAACTTTTGAGAAATACTTTGCATTGGTGGATATTCACCTTTCTGTTGATTTGGCCAACTTAGGATAAATTAAAAATGATCTAAAACAAATCTAAGGGACTCTACGATAGACTCTAGCAGTCATAGCATCAGTAACAAATAAACTCCAACTTGGCTAAATTCAAAGATCTGTTGGTTTCCTTAAAGATTATTACAGAAAGTTAAGTGATTTATTAGTCTCCCATTTGGTCCAGATGTAGAATTTTGAACTGAAGAAGAAAGAATTCCCCAAGTATTTCCAGGAGGGATTTAACTTTGCTAAGCTACAGCTTCTACCATGCAAACCTTACCTCTTTGCAGTGAACTTATACTCCTGACAAAGTACACCTTAACAGCCTGGGCTTGGAGGCTTAGAGAAAAGTCATCAAACAATTACTCACAGTAGTCACTGAAACTGGAATAGAATTAATGTATTTTATCACAAACTGAAAATATAAATAAAATTAAGTTAGATTCTTTGCCATTGAAAAGTATTAGGAAATGGCTGTGGCCAGGGAGAAGATACCTGCGCCCAGCAAAGAAGAGAAATCTAAGATAAAGATCCTCTTTTGCGGGACATGCCTGTAATTCCAGTATTTGGGAGGCTGAGTAAGGCAAGCTCAAGGCCAGCTTGGACAACTTAGTGAGACCCTGACTCAAAATAAAATATAAAACTTGGCTGGCAATATAGTTCAGTGATACCGCACTTGCCTACCATGTACAAAGCCTTGGCTTCCACGCTCACTACTGAAGGAAAAAATGAAAAACCTCTCTTTGGAAGAAAGCATTCAAAGTGAATTCCTCAATTTACTAGGTAGAATGGTAAAAGAAACAAATATGAAATTCAGAAAGCAACAGGATAACCTATTTTCTTCATGAGTAGCAACCATAATGAAGGCAATGAAGAGTCACTACACCCTTGCTTTTTTCAATTCAAAAGTCAGGTAGTGTGCTAAGTTTCTTATACAACACTTCCTTTACAATGACCTGATTATAAAATTTGGAAAAGTGGTAATAGGACTGAATTAATCTTGATACGTTCCAAAAATTTTTACTAAAAACACTATTACCTAAAAAAGTTATCAGACACATGGAAAAACAACAGTGTACTGTGAAGAGGTGATTAGTTACCAGCTCCCAATCTGTCTACAATTCCAATATAAACATTAGTCCTAATTCACTGCATGGATGGTGTTGATTCAGATCACAATTAAAAGAGGGAAAAAAGACTTGTAATGCAAAGAAAGAATTAGGGATCCATAGATCAGCAAAAATATTACCATATTGTCAGATTGGCATGTTAAGTCTACTGATTTTATCTATATAGGCTCAGTTCATTTACAGAAATTGGCAGAAAATGGGTCTATGTATTTAGATATTCCACCTTTCCCATAAGGAAAGTATTCTATATGACATACTCAGCTGAGAATGCCCATAAGACACTAATAGTATCTAATAGGTTCTTCATAGCACAGGTCATAATGATGCAATTCACTCCAGAGAAAAGACAAGCCATGTGAATTCAAAAAAATATTTTAGAAAAAGGAAAAGCAATTCAAAGAAGTTTCTCACACCATTTCATCATCAAACCAGCAATGAAATCAAACAAATAAAACAAAACCAAAAATAAAAAAAGGAAGATGTGAGCAAAAGAGATGATGTAAACTGGTTTAAAAAAAAAAAAGGTAAACTGACAATGAAAACTAGTGCTAATAATGAGAAAGTAGGAATCAAAACACAACTGGTTCTATACACAATGGAATTTTATGCAGCCATGAAGAAGAACGAAATGTTATCATTCGCTGGTAAATGGATGGAATTGGAGAACATCATTCTGAGTGAGGTTAGCCTGGCCCAAAAGACCAAAAATCATATGTTCTCCCTCATATGTGGACACTAGATCAAGGGCAAACACAACAATGGGATTGGACTTGGAGCACATGATAAAAGCGAGAGCACACAAGGGAGGGGTGAGGATAGGTAAGACACCTAAAAAATTAGCTAGCATTTGTTGCCCTTAACGCAGAGAAACTAAAGCAGATACCTTAAAGGCAACTGAGGCCAATAGGAAAAGGGGAATAGGTACTAGAGAAAAGGTTAGATCAAAAAGAATTAACCTAGAAGGTAACACCCACGCACAGGAAATCAATGTGAGTCAATGCCCTGTATAGCTATCCTTATCTCAACCAGCAAAAACCCTTGTCCCTTCCTGTTATTGCTTATACTCTCTCTACAAAATTAGAAATAAGGGCAAAATAGTTTCTGCTGGATATTGAGGGGGTGGGGGGGAGAGGGAGGGGGCGGAGTGGGTGGTAAGGGAGGGGGTGGGGGCAGGGGGGAGAAATGAACCAAGCCTTGTATGCACATATGAATAATAAAAAAAAAGGAAAAAAAAAACCACAACTGGTTGCTCTATTATGGGAACTAATAATTTGCTTATTTTTTAAAGGCAAGGTAAAAAGGACTCACAAGAAAAAAGGAAAGAAAACAATAAAAGAAAATCATAAAAAGGAAAATAAGCATGAGTGTGAAATACCCAAATTAGAAGATAAAGAATTGAAAGATCCCGAGCACACTTCAATGTGGTGTGCTGTTACTGTATTTGGGTGGTACTCTCTATTCTGTCCACACAGAGCAGAGCCCAGCAAGTATGGCATTCTTTAGTGCTAAAGGAATAGGTTAGTGTTAGCTATTCATACAATTATTAGGGAATAACCCAAAGAGCAGTAATAGTAACCTTGGCATTGAACCAAAGGGCCAAGAGCTGTGCTGGTTTTGGTTTGACATTTTTTATGAGTGTTTCCCAATTTTGGCAACACTTGTGGGCTTCATTTTCTCTGCGGCCACTGTCCAATTGTGAATTACAAGAGTTAGTCACAAAGAAACCAGAAAATAGTAGTGTCTTTAGGAAAGTTAATATCTCATGCCTCACTTTTTCTGTCTTTTTAATTTTGCTTTCATAGGACTCAATGCTTGAAAATGAATGTGAGCAAAAAGGAAAGTATATTTAACAACCTTAAATGCAGCTCAAAACCAAAAACAAAAAACAACTATTAGCCTTAAGAGAGGGTTACTAAGTACCATGTACCTAGGTTACAAATTACCATATACTATCTTGCTCACCTTTTGTCAAAAATTTTAGATTCTTGACTATAAAATCTCAATTTTTGTAAGTTATAAAATCACCAATTATAATTTAGTTGAATTTAAAACTGAATTGCATTAAAGCAACTTCTGGGAAATCATGGGATTTAAAATTTTTTATTTTAGTATAACTCTTTCCAGTGTCTTACTCTGCTCTCCTCCCCCTTCCCTAAAGAGCTCTCCAGCCAGACTGCCTAAATTCAAGTCTCAGATCTGCTATTTAAATCTCCATAAATTTACTCATTATCCTATTTTTTGCCTCATTTTCTTCAACTGGAAAATAGGAGGGAACAACCACCTGTCATAGAAAGTTACTGTGAGCATTAACCAGGGGAACTTTAAAAAATGCTACTGTGAAGGCTGCACCCAGTACAATTAAATCAGAGTCTTCAGGAATGAAACCCAGCATCAGAAAGTTCCACTATCATGCTCAGAGACTCATTTCTGAGAAACAAGAGTGAACTGAAAATATGATCAAGATAAAATATGAAGTCTGCTTTTTCAAGGGAGAGAGTGGTCCTCAAATTTGGAAGACAGTACACTTGCCAGCCTTATTTGTTTTAATTGAAAACAGAAGTTCATCAGATGGTGAGGTTCAATCCAATCTCCCTCCCTACTTGGTAGTAAATATGCCACCTACTCACTAAAAATCTTGTGCCTGATGAAGGGGTTAAAGAAAAATGATAAAGGGCAAACAGAAGAATGCTGCGGGAGGCCCATGTGGCAGGCAACTTTGCTATTGCAGCTGCCTGATTGTGCTCCCACTACTTCTTATCTGTGCAATGGACATCGCTGGACAAAACACTCTGTAATATCAATGAATGTCAATGCCACAACATTTGAACTATACATTTCACTTATTTAAAGTGGACTTGTAGAACTGGACTGCCTACTAAGAGTATGCCATTGCTTTATTTTGTGTACATAGCTATGTTTCTGGGTTTAAAGCACAAAATATCCACAAGTTTAAGTCTCAATATGTTAACTATTTTTGTACCCTCCTCATTTTCTCCCTTGGAGCCAGCATTAATTTGGTTAAAGAAGAACGGACTAATTAGGACATCCTTGAAAAGAGGATAAGTCTACATGCTAGGAGAAACAGAGAACGAATTACCTTCTCTCATATTTCTACTGTGCTCCAACTATCCAACCACTGAACTTCTGCTTTCTACAGCCTCTAGTTAACCTCTCTCCTAGTGTTCACCTAAGAAAAGCTCCTTCTAGGGTCTTCATTGACTATGTTTGGATCACAGTCAGTGGAGTCACTACGTCTGAAGAGCAGGTGCACAGAACTGCAGGTAGAGGGACATTATCGTTATATTAGGTTATACAAGGCCGTATAATGAAATCTTCATATGCCCTCAAAACAGCCCACTTCCTATTATATGGAGTCAAATGAAGATTTTTTTCCTACTGATGATTTTGTTTAATAGTGCTGAAGCCAACAACTGGCATTTCATTAGACTTGCTAAACACCTAAAGACTGAAGTATCATTCAGACTTCAAAAAGCCTTCATTGTGTCTTCTGAAGACTTCATTTTGCCCCTCTTGTGAACAGTCACAGCTTTAGCTGCTATATTTAGTACAATCAGGAGTCTTTGAAGTATTTGCAATACAGAGTGAGCAGCCTATTGGGTATTCAGGTGGGGTAACTGACCTGAGAGCAGCTTGTTTCCACCCTGTGCATCCCATAGGAAAAGTCATCTGTGAATGTGATTGCCTCAGAACTGATCACATCATGGAAGGAAGGCCAACCTGAGGCAGAACAGGCACAAGAACAGAGGAGAAAAGTATAGCCTTGGGTTAGAATGCAATTTTAAAGAAATATTAAGCAAATAACATAAATCTTTAGCAAATGACTCAGCCTTACTTTTTCAACCTGAGGGGGGAAAAGGTCAACAGCTGAAGGATAAAATATTTTGCAAAAGTACAATTACTTTTTAAAAATAATGTATTTCTCACATTCATATTATAGTTACGTCGGAGTTTTGTGTTTCCTGAGACTTTCTTAGATCATTCAACAGATTTTCATAGAATTTCTAAACTTAGAATGCTTTGTCACCATTCTTCCTCCTGTCTTCAGTCACATGACTTTAAAGCACTATTAATCTTTCATTATAACATTTTCCAAAACACAATCAAATTGGTCTGGTGGTTAACTTATCAACTATATCATGCTTGTTTAGATAGCATACTTTTTCAATACTTAGTTTGGATCCAAATATAAAAAGATGAATAACCTGTTGTCTATCTCAATTTAGTCTCTTTCCTAGAACAGAGTGTATTTGGAGCATTGCACCTATTTTGTAGGAAAGAGGCCTGCTCACTTCCTAGCAGTGTTCCTCAGGCATCCAGGTAACACCTTGTATTGAATGGAGTATTTTTTCAATTCTAATCATTTAAAAAAACTTTCACATTTTGTGAAATTTTATTGTAAGCAGGCCATAATGTTTGTACAAATGTTTTGAGTATACAGTTTGGTGTTTTGTTCCGTATTTATGGGCATGTTTTTACATTTCCCCAAAATATTTGTGGAGTTTCAGAACCGAAGTCAAATACCCAAATGATAAAAGAGATGTGATGCTGCAGAATTGCTGGCATACTACTGTTTTTTTTCCCCTTTTTTAGGAGCCAAATTTATTCCTGTAGAAAAGAGGAAGCACTTTAAAAACACAGTGCTTCGTGGTAATACACATATTGAAAGAACACAGAATGCAAACTTCAACAATATGATTTCCAGTTTCCAACAAAACAAATCAGCTCACGCTAACCAAGTTTTTATAAGAAACTTGCCCAAGCTCCCCATCCCCCACTCTACAAAAGTATAGTTTTCATAGTCAGTGCCAGATTTAACACTATGAGTTTAAACACTTTACAGTTCCTTGATGCGGGCTCAATATTACTACAAATATCAGGAAAACCTTAACCTTCTACACTATAGTATTTCACAAATTAATTATGCTGAGACTAACTAGGATTTTTAAGAAAATTCATTTTTCCCTATTTCTAAATTCTAAATAGTTCTTGAATATATTTGAAACTGCAGTATATTTGGTTTACAATGAATACTTGACACATTTAGGTGTTTATTCAATGAAAGAAGTGCCAACTGCTAGTGAAAACAGTTTAATGGTGATTCTTAAGGACACTGAAAAATAAAGTCATTTATCTATGAAAAGAATTAAAAACCATTGTGTTATTTTCTTTTTTAACCTTCCATGACATAACTCCTTTGATGGTAGTTTAAAGCAACTAATATGGGGCTGGGAAAGGACACACTTGATTCAGTAGTAAACAGATAAAAAGACTCAAGAGTTTATGTTGTGGTTTTAAATTTACCATAAGGCTACTTTCCCCCTAACACACAAACATTTTCCTATTTCTAAAATTCAAAATAGATATGGAGGAATGTGTGCATCTGTGTGTGTATATATATATATATACACACACATATATACAAATATATATATTTCCCTCTTTTATGTATACCTCTGTATCTTTATATAGACTTATTTTGTTCTGTTTATCACATTGAACTTCTGATTCATCTGTTTTCATACATTCTTCCTTGATTAGATGGTGAGCACCTAGACTGTCTAAACTCATAGACCTGTGTATTGTCACTGTCTACCATGGTGTCCAGCATAAAGGCAGAGCTCAAGTGTTTCCAGTAAGCCTTAAATAAGCAAGTGGGATAATTACAGCATGTCACAGAGGCCTGTAGGAAAGAAAATATCATCAGACTCCTTTTTTAACAGACTAGATTAAGAAATATCCATGCTAGTTTCTCTCTGTAGTATTCAACTTGGCTCAATCACTATAATTAAGCCTCACTACATGAGTAGGGCAGTAGCCTTATTATGTGCTTAGGATGGTAGAACATGCAGGTCATCTTGGTCACTCATTGTGCAGGGTTCTGGGGGAAAGGGAGCAGAAGGATAAGTTACTTGCCAAGGTTACAAAGGAAGTAAAAAGCAAAGCCAAAACTAGAATCTGAGCATTTAGACTTTCCTCTTAGACTCTCTTCTTATATCCCATTTTATTCTTCCATGAAAGGCTCAGAAGTCCTTCATTTCTGAACATTCTAGCAGGAAAAAGGATGCAGATTTTAAGAAATGTGTTTACTGTAGTCTTGTCTGAATTAGTTGATTGCTGTACTGCTGCACTTAGGGGACTCTGGGTAGAAGCAGATAATGAATGTATCTTAAACAATATTGATTCTCTCACCTTCTAATGATCAAAGTATTCAAATAACTGCCCAAGAGTCATGATGTAAATGAGGAAATCTAGTTTGAGACACACACACACACACACACACACACACACACACACACACACACACACACTTAGCCTTAGGCAGTGACACTGAGAAAACTGTCAGCTGTATCTGGAGTTTCTTACTTCTTTCCTAATAATTCTAATTATTTACTAAAGAACTAGGAACAAAGGAACTGCTTCCAAATGAATTGTTAAATCATAAAGCTATGCATTTTGTCTACCTTAACTAAATATTCATGAAAATTTCCAGAAAACCATATTTTCAGAAGTGCACAGGAAGGTGGGTAACATGGATTAGAGGTTCTCAAAAACTTTCAATATTGCTGGGAAACCATTAACTTTGAATAGCTTGTTGATTACAAACAACAAATTGTTTGAAAACAATTTGGAAGAGACACTAAAAATATATATAAAGATATTTCAGAACTACCCCAATTTACAGTGCCCCTTTGCACTGAGAAAGAAATGCAGCATTCACAATGAAATAACTGGTATGTTACTCAACTCTTGATTGATGGCGGTTGACAAGAGAAACCATGTTGAAGACTGTAATGCCCTGTTATGGGACACATTTCTAAAGAGAATCATGGCTAACTTCACCAACAAGGTTAACAAAGGAGAATGCTGAGTTGATTTGCTAGGTCTCTCAGAAAAAAAGTGAAGCTCTATAGAAAGAAAATCCATCAGAAAGGTAAGTCCTTAATGACAATCAAGCTAAGAAGGACCTTTACCCAAGAATAAATTGTCATATGACAGAGAACCTACAGTGATGACAGCACTTTGAAAGTGGAATTCCCTCATCATGTGAAAGTATTTAAAGGAGGAACTCTTCACTGCTGTAAAAATCCTCAAAGGAAACCCTGCCCCCACTGCTAATAATAAGGAAAGTGCTTCAAAGGGTGATAGGCAAGGACTGAAGCAATCTGCGTCTTGTTGAGAAAATTATCTTGAGCAAAAGGGGGGGAGGGAATGTGTGTTTATGTCAGTTTTGACATTAAAGAAAGATCATCCATCCTCCTTTCTCTAGGCTTTTCCTTTTGGTCTTCTCGTCTAACAAAATGTTATTTGTTTTGGATGCATTCCATGTACGTTTTAAAAGAAAAGTCATGTGAGAACCCCATGAACAGAGAAGACTCACCCTACCCCCAACGCATCCCTTTGTTTTAATTTGATGAGTTTGGATGTAGGCCTATTATTTCATATCGAAGACTATAAACTATACTTTTTATACATTAGCCTATCTAGAGAATATCAAGAATATTTTATTTTCAATGAATACATTTCCGCCTCAAAGAATTCCCATTTCCAGATAGCAGATAAATACAGCTTACTGCATCTGAAGCAAGCAAGTTGGAATACAGCAGTTCTGCTTCAAATTTATTCAGCCATCCAGCCATGTTAATCTGCAGCTATAATCTAATACTTCTTATATAATATGAAGCAAATCCAGGACATTCTCATTGATATCTCTAACACAAGAGTGAGCTATACTACTAGTAGTGGTTCTTTAATGTTTGCTGTCATCTACAATGCAATTATTTTTTTAGATTACAATAAAAAGAAATATTCCACTCCTACTCATAATGTAGCTTGTATAGCTGCTCTGAGTCTACTTTAATACATAACTGAATAGTGATATGGCTCACTACAAGGAAGGGTGGACAAATTTTAAATGTTTCACTCCAACTGCTTCCTAACAAAAACTTTGACTCTCTATCCCTCCCTCTTCCTCCTTCCTTTCAAAAATCTTTAAAATAAATTGTTAAAACTAGTAACAGGTTATAAACAAGGTGAAGTTAATAGCATGTCTAGAAAGTGTGACCCTCAGTCCCCTCTTCTTAATTTGACAAAGATTGTTACACAGCTTCTACTTCTCTACATCCTTCCTTTCACCTAAATGAAAATTAGAAATCTCAGTAAGTCAGTTACATGATCAGCCAGTAGAAAATAGCAGAAATTATCCATGCAAAAGAATTTATTGAATTGAAGGTAATTACAAATATTTTATTATCTTCATTAAATCCCAGTTGGGCTTGAGTGATGGTTTAATAGTGATGATTTATATTTGAGCACAGCTTTGGTACAACAAGCTGGAGATGCAGATCTGCATTTGATAGTGTGTACCAGTGTTAAATATTTCAGACTTTGTAACTTTTGATTTTTCTGTAGTCAGAATCTGTTCACCCCTCTGACCACAATTCACCTTACTAGCTACCTCAAGACAAAATTCTCTATGAAGGTCCCCTGCTAACAAGAATTATTTGAAGCTTAGATCCCTGATTCTTGCAAAATTATTCACTTGAATTGACATTTCTAGTATAACTTTTATCTCATTTTAGAAAGAACGATTCTTTTCTCCCCTTAAAAGACCCATTTTGTTGCAATCTAGCCCTCCAAAAGTTTAAGTAGTTATCAACCAAATATATGCATTTGGTAGAAAATCAAACAGTGCAAGATGGTTCATATGAAATTCCCCT